AATAAGGAAGAAGATGTGCCTGGTGTTTTACAGTTACCCATTATGCAAATGTTCGTTTGACTCTCAGATGTAGGATGCGGATATATATACCAATCATTTCAATCCTGTCCTTCCTTCATTTTTCTGTGTGTAACTATTTTTATCATGATGGAAAACAACAACAACCTCTGGACAACAACTTACTCCACAGAAAATGTCAAGTGTTGCTGAGGATTTGAATCATGCAGTGAGGCAGTCCTGCTTGGTTTTTTTGCTGTAGATTATCTTTTAGAATGACAGTGCTTTTCTACTGGCATGCAAATTTTCCACCAAAACGATTGGCCCGTCACCATTTTGAGGGAACATCAAATCCTTTCAGACAATCCTGATGGACAATGTGACTGTCCACATAGCAGACCAATGTGTACCTAATGTAGTGTAAATAAAACCACTTCAGCATTTACTCTCTATTTTTAAAGCCTGGATTGGTCTACGCACATGGATGTGGAGACCATCAACTGACTCCGTTTATGCTACTTCAGTTGATGGCATATAACTTTCCTCCAAAGTTTGGGTGTATATATACAGTCATGAAAAAAATGATTAGACCACCCTTGTTTTCTTCAATTTCTTGTTCATTTTAATGTCTGGTACCACTTAAGGTAAATTTGTTTAGACAAATACAATGATAACAACAAAAATTGGTCATAGGCGTTTAAGGGGCAAGACAGTCTGGTTTGTAGGCTTCTCCAGACATTCCTTGACAGCACCCACTCATTATTAAGGTCCCTGAAGGTCTGACGACGATTCCTGACACAGGAACAGATGGGTGCACGGTCATCTCGTGGGGTAGAAAGACGTTTCCTGCCGCAACCAGCTAGCAATTTGGTAGCGCCATGTTAGGCTTGTTTTGTCTTGGTGTAATGAACGGCTGTCTTGAGATCTTCAGTTTTTTCACTACCTGTCTCTCACTCAAGCCAAATTCCAGCAGTGCTAAGATGACTGCCTTTGTGGCTTCACATAATTCTTTTGTTTTAGGCATTATGTGAGACCTGACAACTTCTGAGTTGTGCTACGGCTTGAATGTAAGCAGGAAACCACTCTGGGCCTTTGCATGTGCAGTGCTGCTTATGACATGAAATGGCCTCTTATATACACAGGGAATACAATTAAGCTAAAGCATGTCAAACAGGACATAAAATATGATGTAATCAGCTGCATGTTTTTGTCGTGTTCATTGTATTCTTCAGGTAATATGCCTTGACTGTATATATCTATATACAGTTTCAACTTCTTCAACTTCTTCTAGTTTCAACTATGTTGAAACCAGAAATTTACATACACTGTATAAAAAGATATATGACCTTGTTTTTCTCACTGTCTGACATTAAATCAGACTAAACTTTCCCATTTTTAGGTCAGTTAGGATTACCAAAATTATTTATATTTGCTAAATGCCAGAATAATGAGAGAGAATTTTTTTTTTACTTTCTTCAAAGTCAGAAGTTTACATACATTTCCTTAGTATTTGGTAGCATTGCCTTTAAACTGTATGATTTGGGTCAAACATTTTGGGTTTCCTTCCACAAGCTTCTCACAATAGTTTGATGAATTCTGGCCCATTCCTCCTGACAGAACTGGTGGAACTGAGTCAGGTTTGTTGGCCGCCTTGCTCCACACACCTTTTCAGCTCTGCCCACAAACTGTCTACAGGATTGAGATCAGGGCTTTATGATGGCCACTCCAAGACTTTGACTTTGTTGTCCTGAAGCCTCTTTGTAACTAATCTGGCGGTATGCTTAGGGTCATTGTCCATCTGAAGACCCATTTGCACCCAACCTTTAACTTCCTGGCTGATGTCTTGAGATGTTGCTTCAATATTTCCACATAATGTTCTTTCCTCATGATGCCATCTATTTTGTGAAGTGCACCAGTCCCTCCTGCAGCAGAACACTCCCACAACATGATGCTGCCACCCCCATATTTGACAGTTGGGATAGTGTTCTCAGGCTTGCAAGCTTCCCCCTTTTTCCTCCAAATGTAACGATGGTCATTATGGCCAAACAGTTCAGTTTTAGTTTCATCAGACCACAGGACATGTCTCTAGAAATGAAGGTCTTTGTCCCTGTGTGCATTTACAAACTGCAATCATTTTTTTTGGATGTTTCTTTTGGAACAATGTCTTCTTCCTCTTCCTATCCTTTCAGCCCATGTTGGTACAGGACTGGTTTCACTGTGGATAATGACACTCTCTTACCAGCTTCAGCAGCATCTTCAAAAGGTCTTTTGCTTTTGCTCTGGGGTTCATATGCACATTTTGCACCAAAACACTTCATCTCTGGGACACAGAACCCGTCTCCTTCCTCAGCGATATGATGGCTGGACATTCCCATGGTGTTTATACTTGTGTATAATTGTTTGAACAGATGACTGTGGTAAATGGTAAATGGTATGCACTTATATAACGCCTTTTTCTAGTCCCCAAAGTGCTTGACAATGTGTTTTGCATTGCGCACACACACAAGGCGCTGATCTGCCATTGGGAGCAACTTGGGGTTCAATGTCTTGCCCAAGGACACTTTGGCATGTGGGGGGGGGACTGGGGATCGAACCGCCAACCTTGCCAGCAGTGGACAACCCGCTCTACCACCTGAGCCACAGCCGGCTGTGGAACCTTAAGGCATCTGGAAATTGTACCCAAGGATGAACCAGACTTGTGGAGGTCCACAGATCTCTTCCTGATATCGTGGCTGATTTCTTAAGATTGTCCATGTTGTCACAAACGGAATCAGTGTGTTTGAGGTGTTCCTTAAAATACATCTACAGGTGTGCCTCCAATTAACTCAAATGTTGGCAATTAACCTATCAAAAACTTCCAAAGTCATGACATCATCATCTGGGCTTTCCCAAATCGTTTGAAGGAATAGTAATCTTAGTGTATGTAAACTTCTGACTTTGAAGAAAGTAGAAAGAAAATCTCTCTGATTATTCTGGTGTCTAGCAAATAGAAATAATTTCAGTAATCGTAACTGACCTAGAACAGGAAAAGTTTGTCTGATTTAATGTCAGACAGTGAGAAAAAAAAGGTCATATGTCTTTTTATACAGTGTATGTAACCTTCTGGTTTCACCTGTATATATGTTTTTTTTTTCCCCTGTCAGTTGCTAGGTTGCTAGTTTGTTTGTTTGTCTCCCTTGTTCACCTCCCTGTCTTTGTGTTTCCTGTATCTGTTCACCCCATGACGTCTATTTATTTTTGTGTTTTGGTTTTGTTTCTTTGGATTACTGTCTTCATGTAACGGCTTATTTATCCCTGGATCTTAACCACCTTGTCTGCCTGGTATGTTTGCCTTTCCTGATCACCCCTAGATATTTTCAATTTTGCTCTGAGTTCGTTGTGCATACAAAAACACATTCAAAACAACCTTGACATTGTATTCGGCAAACTTGACATTGTTGAAAAAAAATTGCAGTTGTTGAAATGTAGAAAAATCTGCTACTCCTCGTGTTCAGCGCCACACTGGAATAATTCAAGTGACTGATATTCTCCACTGACTGTCACATTCTTTGAATGCGTATGAGGCTCTTTGATAAGGAAATCCCACAATGTTTAATGTGGAACAGATTTTTTTTTCTAAATGTATAATTAAACAAAAAAACATGACTTTTTACATGAATTAAGGTCATTTTAACAATTAAATAATTAACAGTTAAATAGAGAAATGGTATTTAGTCTATGCTCACAGTGTGAGATTTGACAGTTTGCCAAGTTTTGCATGTTCTTTTTCTATCTAAATTAACAGATTCATACTGTAAAGCTGCAAAATAGTTTGCTTTAATGAATCAGATTTGTGTTACTAAGGAAGTTTCTTGATAAAGCAAAATAGTCTTAAAAATGTTTTAAAATTAACTCTGTGTATATATGGTGTATTGTAGAATTAGAAAACTTGTTATATGAATGCCATTGGTTGTACATTAATGAGGAACATATCATTACAGTGTGAAAATGTGCTGTCAAAACATAACAATAATGTGGTTAGGAGTTTTTTTGTTTTTTCACTACACAGACAAATAGAAAAAAAAACATTTGGCAGGGCATTACAAATAAATGGTCATACTGTCAAAGTCACCATGGTGCTGTGTATAATAAACGATCAAACTTAGATTGTACTTTGGCATAAAGTAGCTTAAACATGATTAACAAAGTCTGATTTAAACATTAAACCTCACAACCCTAAAATACCATAACTCAGGTTGTTAAGTTGTTGACTATAAAACATGGTGTATAACGTATTCATTTCTTTCAATTAATGAATGAAATCACAGCATGAAGTGCAAAGTCATTCAGTCTGCATATCATGGGACCAACAATATAAAATACATCAATTAACAGATCCCAGAGAAGTTAGAATTGATAGAGTCCTTAACCCTGATCCACTACTTAACAGTGGAGCAAGGCATGCTTTGCATTATAACCATGCTGCAATAACCACAAGCACATGATTGAGATCAGTTACTGTGCAGACTACTTTGGGTTTGAGAGGTATCACTCTATACGAAGTTGAAGTGAACTGTGTGCAAGATAAGACAAAAATCTTAAACATAAGTTTGCACTAAGAAATTTGAATGTAATCCTTTCATAAATGACAAAATCAAGTGTTCCAGTTATCCATTTGTACTGTATTTATTGCCAATGTGTGGCTTAAATAAGACAAATGGTATATGGAGAAAAGGACTTGAACTGAGGCAGTTGTTTGGTCAGGAGGTGAATAAATCAATGAACAAATAAATTAACTAATAAAATTCTGTCTGACCACCCCAGGTCCCCAGCTAACACTGATGGCAGGGAGGATTTCTGATTGTTTAAGAACTTTAAATTTTCAACCATTTCATGATACAATTCCTCCTTCACCACAGAGAGAGGATATTGAGATCACAGCTTTGACTACATAGTCTCTGATAAACTACAGTACCAGTCGTTATGGTGTCTTTAACCCACACTATATTATGTTTGTCATCAGCTTAATGAAATGGGAGGAACCTCCTGTCCTCCACTAAAGACTGTGAGAGGTTTCTCAGTTCTCTGGGGTGGAATACTGTCTTGTATCCAAGGAGCCCCAGAAGAGGCTGACAGGCAGTCTGGGTATAAACCACCATGTCGAAGGACAACTTCACCCTCCAGTTCTCTGCATTCGCTGCAGAGTCCCGAGCTGTGGTGAACTTCTGCCGGGATGACGGATCACTGCTGCCACGAGTGTTGTTGATGATCCAGTCTTCCACACTGTGATCCAGAACCAGACCAAGGAAGCTGTAGAGCTCCCTGGTCTTTTCTAGAGGAAACCTGGCCAAGTCTTCATACCTAACCAAAGAGACAGTACAATTTCGTAAAGATGAACAAAAAAGGGAGAAGTCAGTAGTCAGTAATGGTCAGTAATAACAACAGTAAATATTATCATGCCTGCACAAAGTTGCTTGCCAAGAAAGTGTAAACACAGATCATTTTACATGTCAATTTGAATAAGAAGAAGCAACTTTAAAATAAAACCAGGACAGTGTGCTAACAGACAGATGAATACTATGGTTGTAAGAGTACCTACAGTACATCCTAGCCACAAAAATGGGGCTAACATAACCACTGACCTGTGACCATATGCTGTACACCTCTCAGTTCAGAGTTCATGAACCAAAATGTATATTTCTGTATAAACTGTTCATGCTGCCACTGTCTACATAAGAAACTCCACCTTCAACCAAAGTTTGTTGTTTGAGCCCTAACAAACAGCCCCTTGGTAAAGGTCAATGGATCAGAATAGTTCATCAAGGGCTAACTTTACTTAAAACTATAAACTTAAACATTATCTTTGCTCTTCATACCTGAGCAGCATGTACCTCCCTTTGAGCCAGGGGGGTCTGGCCAGGCCTGTTGACACAGAACGGAGGAAATCCTCACACACTGTGTTGATCTGTCCTAGGTCTAGGTTGTGGGGTCGACGTCCAGTTGCTCTCCATAGACGCCACAGCCGGTAAGTGTCTCGAAATGTCTCAATACGAGATGCCAGGATGCCACGTGGATCTCGAACAAGCTGGACAACCTGAGGATATTGGATGCATTTATTACAACATCAGCAACAGTACAGATGTCTGAATGTCTCCCTTCAACCGAATGTCATTAATGGTCTCTGACTAAGCGCCCAGTAACAAGATAAAAGACAGTGCTACTAAGTTATACATTATGAAATGAACCAGACAGACAAATGCGATGGAATCATACCAGCCACAATGCCTGTGTGTGTGTGTGTGTGTGTGTGTGTGTGTGTGTGTGTGTTAGTTAGTCCAGTCCTTGAATGTTTAACAGTCCTATGACTTGAGGGATGAAGCTCTTGCACAGTCGGGCCTTGCGGGCCCGCATGTTTCTGAACCTCCTGCTAGACGGCAGGAGTGTAAAGAGTTTGTGTGAAGGGTGTGTGGGGTCCTTCACAATGCTGGTGGCTTTTCGGGTGCAGCATGTGGTGTAGATGTCCTTGATGGACAGGAGAGAGACACTCCGATGCTTTTTCTGCTGTCCTCACAACCCTGTGGAGGATCTTGCCGTCTGAGACAGTGCAGTTTCCAAACCAGGTAGTGATGCAGCTACTCAGGATGCTCTCAGTAGTCCCTCTGTAGAATATTGTCAGTATGGGGGGGTGGGAGGTGGGCTTTCCTCAGCCTCCACAAGAAGTAGAGGCGCTGCTGGGCTTTCTTTGCTATGGAGCTGGTGTTGAGAGACCAAGTGAGGGACTCCACCAGGTGGACACCAAGGAATTTGGTGCTCTGCACGATCTCCACAGTGGAGCCATCGATGGTCAGAGGAGCATGCTCCCTTTGTCCACTCCTGAAGTCCACAACCATCTCTTTAGTGTTGTCCACATTCAGAGACAGGTTGTTGACTCAGCACCAGTCAGTTAGATGATGTGTTGAATGCTGAGCTGAAGTCTATGAACAGCATTCTGACGTGGGTGTCTTTGTTGTCCAGGTGGGTGAGGGCCAGGTGGAGGGCAGTGGAGATGGCGTCATCTGTGGAGCGGTTGGGATGATATGCAAACTGCAAGGGGTCTAGCAAGGGGGGCAGCAGGGTCTGAATGTGCCTCAAGACGAGCCTCTCAAAGCACTTCATTGTGATAGGCGTGAGTGCAATGGGGCGATAGTCACTGAGGCAGGACACTGACGACTTCTTTTGGTTGATGATGGGGATGATGGTGGTGGCTTTGAAGCACGTTGGAACAATGGAGGTGCTCAGGGAGGTGTTGAAGATGTCTGTGAGAACATCCACCATCTGGTCTGCACACTTCCTGAACACTTTGCCAGGAATGTTGTCTGGTCCAGCAGCTTTCCGTGGGTTGACCCTGCGAAGCGTCTTCCTCACGTCGGCCGTGGTGAGACACAGTGCCTGGTCGTCGGGGGGAGGGGTGGTCTATCTCGCCGTCTCATTGTTCTGCGCTTCAAAGCGAGCGTAGAAGTCGTTCAGCGCATCCAGCAGATATCACTTTGGTCACTGTTAGTTTTGAAACACTAGCCAGCTGATCTGTCTATGTGACTAGAGCTTTTGCCACCTATGCTTTAACAAAGAGCCCTCTTTCTCTAGCTCTATTCATTTTGGCATCTTGATTCAAAGTCAGAATTAACTGGGCCTACTCAGCATTTTTATGTATGCCACAGAGCCTACCTTTAATAAGTCACCAAGTCTAGGGGAATCGTTGACACAACATGAACTGGTGCTCCCCCAGTCTTTCACTCCAAGAAAGGCCAGCAACATCAGTAAGCCAAGTTCACCATGGAAAATAACTAGATATCAGCTCATAAATTCAACTCTTATGAGTTGTTTTTGCTGTTATCATTATATTTATCCAAACAAATGTACCTGTAGTGGTACCAGACATTAAAATGAACAAGAAATGTAAGAAAACAAGGGTGATCTAAAAAAATTTCCACGACTGTATAAATGGCATGACCATGTAAAACAACATTTCCATCCATCCATTTTCTATACACTAATTTATCATCTGTAGTGTCACAGGGATGAGCCAAAAGGCAATAGTACTATGAGGTAGTAACTTGTAATGGTTTCCAATTTTGGCATGCCTTATCCAAAAAAAGACCAGTGTAGTGCACAAAGTTTGGCCTATTGAGGCCAGGGATCTATTTCATTGATACTCATCTTTTAGTAATTAATTATTCTATGCTGTTGAATGCCACTTGATGTATTTTGTTACCTTGGTACTTGTGCTATATATTATTTGTAAGAATATGTAGTCTAGACTTCATTTATTAATGTATTTTTGTGAATAATTCCTTTTTTAATGTTAATGGGTCAGGGTGCTTTCTCAATGTGTTTTAAGGCTATCAGTTGTGTTGTGCCAAGATGGAGTTGATATAGAAAAAGCGCGATTTAAACTACTGTCAAACTACCCTGTCAGCTTGTGTTAGGTATATTACATCCATTTATCTGCAAATGCGTTGAGTATCTCTGAGGAAATGCAGTTGTCACCATATGTTCAATCAATACCAATTTAAGTGCATTGATTAGCCATCTAACCTCCCACCATTCAGTCCACAATGCACTCATCTAGTGAAGAGCTGTTTCATGCTGCCTCGTGACACAGTAGTACAATACTAACCAGTCAATACAATAACCAGTGACAGATTGAATCAGCTGCTCAACACATCGGTCATCATTGAATGTGTCTGCTGTTTCAACCACTAAACAAGTCTGTATTCATGAGTTGATGTCTAGCTTTGGAGAGATGGTGTTTTTCAGGAGTGTAGAACAACACCATGAAGAGAGACATCAGCATTTCAATATTAGCGTTTCATGTTCAAGAAAAAAAACCAAACAACATTACATTCTAAAAATAACCCACTTTGTTTTTCTACAAGGTTTCTACAAGGCTGACATTTTTCACTGCTTTTCCACAAAATCTGAATCACTTTTTTGAAAGCATGTGTAGGAGATAATGTATTCTCAAATGGACTGAGATTATGTAATAATTCTGCATTAACATTTCTAAGTGATATTTGATCAGCAAAATAATCAGACAAGATCACTGTACTAATACTGTATATACAGCTGAGTTTCAGGAAAGACTGGAAAAATGATTTAGGGGTAAGCATCAAGACGCACAACCAAGCATCACTCAACCAAATCCAGACTCTGCACAGAAGGTCGTCATTCCAAATTGGGTGGCCAAGGCTGGAACTGCTCATCTTTCAAAGAAGACTATTCTTTCCCAAATCACACCAAATCACAGAACCAGGATAGTGTGAAGTTTATACTCTCAGGAGGAGAAAGTAGACCTCCAGAGAATTTCACAGCACACATGTCAATACAAGGACACCCAAAATTCTGTATTAACCACATTTGTGACTGGCTCACATCCCCATTTGCGATATAAACTACAAAGGACCAAATGGCCACCAGAAACACTATGACCAGCTTTTAAATGTGCAGGAAGGGAGGATCAGAATCTTGATAATCTGCGACAAAGGAACCCCACTCACCCTGTCATGCTTGACGACTTACCAGACCCACATCAACAGGCTGACCGGTCAACGGCTCCATTAATCAGTTATTGCTTAAATGAGACAGACAACCTGGTGCAAGTTTCCAAATTCTTTTCTTTTGCGCAATTGAATATGAACAAACACCAAATTAGTCCACCACCAAATTCGAGGTTGCCTTCAGGTGGGATCTATTCATCCACAGTTTTCTTTGTTTTGCGTTGTCTTGTCTTGGTGTGCATGTTTGTTGCGTTGTAGTGAGTAGTTTGTTGTCTCGATGCAGTTATAAATGTGCTTAAGAGTAAGTTCAGTGGTTCAACTGTTTATTGCATTGGTCCTTAAATTGTATAGATGCCAGGTACCTAGCTTCACAATTACCTTTCTCCTTTAATGATTTCCCCCATCATTCCTGAAACTCTCCTTGACTGCGCATTTAGTTGAGCTTAATATACAAATTATTACAGTAGTCTTATCTAATGATTTTGGTAATCGATTGTCAGTGAGATTGTGTAATAATTCTGCATAAAAATTCATAAATCCATTTGTGCATACATTTTTCCCTAAAAATGTAACAAACAACTATCTCCATTGTTATAAGGCACCAATAGATACAGATGGGTGTGTTATGACCCTGTGGGTCATTTGTAGTTTTGCCACAGTCTTGCCTCTCTCCTTGAATGAATGAGTGAATTAGGAGCAGGTGGTGTCCGCTGATTGGCTGCCTTTCCTGATTTCTGCCATGCGATTGGTCACGGGGCGGGTCCCCTAACCTATCTGAACAGTCTCCTCTTCAGCCTTTCCACCACCAGGAAATGTCAGCATGTCACATCGTTGTTGCTTGGTATTGTAAAAAGATGTAACAGTAACAATCAGATAGTTGGTGTGCCGATGAGATTTTGTTTTGTGAAACTTCTTATTATATACAGAGTGAGTGAGAGCAGAACTTTTGTGAAACCCTGTAAATTCTTGTAAATAATAGCAGAGCAGTAGCAAGAGAGGGAAGTCCCTTCTCTTTCAACCATTTTTTTCCCCAGGGTCTTGATTTTTAGAGGACAAAGGTTCAATATTTGTCTTTCATTTACCTTTTCTTTTGTTTAGAAAAGTTAGGGTTCATTTAGAATAGCTACATTTGTTTGTTATGCAGGCTTATGTCTCCCTCTGAAGTCAATAAACACTGCTCATTGTGAACTTGGCTTACTGATGTTGTTGGCCTTTCTTGGAGTGGGAAGACTGGGAGAGCACGTGTTGTGTCAAAGGTTCCCCTAGACCGGGACATGTTTTGGGGGCTCGTCCGTTGTTTATTTTGTCGGTCTTCGTCGTGTCTGGTAAGTGTGATTGTTTTCTTCCACATTGTCTCTGCTTGTTGGTTGTAGGGTTGGACCCGAAAATCCAAATATTCGGTCAATGTGGTGGTACCCGGATAGCAATTTGGATATCCGAATATTTGACCTCTCGTTTCGTGTCAGGCAAATTCAAAATTGCCATAAGACCACAGCTACTGATAGCTGGGGTTGATCTGATCCTAGGAAATGATTTGGCTGGCGAAAAAGTTTTTACTTCGCCCGAGGTAATAGAGAATCCATGCACGGATGTGTGTGTTCAGGCCAGAAGTGTTGCCCCTGTTCCCTGTGTGTGCCGTGACTCGAGCTCAGGCACAAAAATATGGTGACATGGTGGATCTCAGTGAGTCTTTTCTGAGTTCCTCTGATCCAACAAGAATGTTTTCAGAATGTCAAACAGAAACCTGTTTCTGTTGCGCTTCAGCCTGATGTTAGAAACCTTACACTGTCAGTCAACAAGAACATCTGATTACAGCTCAGAATTCTGATGTTATCGGGTCCCACTGTTTTTCTCTGATGAAAAATCCAAAGTGTGAAAAGTCTGTGTCCTACCACCTTGACGAGGGTGTCCTGATGCGCCACTGGTCTCCTGGTTCTGGTTTCACACACAAGTCTTTCTGCCAAATTGTAATTCCACAGCCGTTCCATTCTCAAATTCTGAGTTTGGCTCAAAATGTTCTCCGTTTGTTCCTCTGACCAGGACTTAAGTCCCATATTGTCAAATTCTGTTGTACTTGTCACACTTGTCAAGTCTCCAGTAAACCAAACCAGGGGATTCCGGCTGCTACTTTGAAGCCAATCCTTTTCATCGGTGAACCTTTCGAGCATGTTACTTACTGTGGTGATCCTCTCCCAAAAACGAAGTCCGGTAACTGGTACATCCTCACGGCAATGTGTGCTGCTACACGTTACCCTGAGGCTGTCCCCTTGCGCTCTTTAAAGTCCTGTGCCACTGTGAAAGCACTCGTGAAGTTTTTCTCCACATGTGGTCTCCCGAAAAGTATCCAAAGGGTCCAAGGGTCAAATTTCATGTCCAAAATCTTTGCCCAAGTCATGTCTGAGCTGAAAGTAAAACATCATACTTCAAGTGCGTATCATCCAGAGAGCCAAGGTGCCTTGGAGAGGTATGCTTCATAATTTCTGCACTGAGATAAACCATGAATGGGATGAGGGCTTGCCGCTGTTGTGGCTCGCTGTGCGGGAAACTCTGCAGGAGTCACTTGGATTCAGTCCAGCTGATTTAGTCTTTGGCCACACGATGCATGGTCCACTGCGCCTTCTGCGTGAAAAATTGCTCGCAGATAAATCCGGCCCCAAACTAAACATTTTGGACGATGTCAATTCTTTTTGTGAGTAACTGCATCATGCTTGTGATTTGGTTCGTAGCTCGCTGGTTGTCGCCCAAATGAAAATGAAAGCATAGTATAACAAAAACACTGTTGCATAGACATTTCAGTCTGGCGACTGAATGTTGGTTTTGCTGCCTGTCATTGGGTCTGCACAGCAGGCGAAATTTTCTAGCCCATATGCGGTTGATTGTAAACTCAGTGAAACTGATTATTTAATCCAGACTCCAAAAGTCAAGGAAAAAGAAAATACTAATAGTCCAAAAGCATTTCACAAAAAACAAAAACAGAGAAAGAGTATCAAAGGCCTGCTGTTGACAAAATAAGCTGAGGGGAGGTCTAACAGAACGCAGCAGTGCCAAGTGCACATTGTTTAGAAGTTGGATGGAGAAGCCATGAGCACACAGACATAGAGAGACAAACAGGACTAAAGGAGACAAATGGAAAGGTGGACAAAAATGGAAAAAGGAAGCAACACTGGAGTTATGGCCTAGCCCATAACATGATGGGTGTTGGACTAGTGTTTTAGGCGGCACTTTTCACCACCATCATCAAAACACCAAATGAGTATCTTTTGGAAGGGTGGTGTTCCATCCTTTCGGTAGAGTGACTCTGTTCTGGTAGCGTATGCTGTACCAGCGCTGTACTTTGACATTTTGTGTAGATTTTCCATGTAACTACTGACTGTCACTGAGACATGGTTTTCTTTATGGATATCAGTATTTAAGAGCAGTCAAATGTTTTTGTTTTCTTGCCTTGCTATGTTATGTTTGTTTTACTACAACAGTGGACTGAACTGCATTTACAACCAAAACAGTGGTAAGCCCGCCATTTTGGTTGAGTGCCCCCTATTGGTGGATTGGTCCCATGTCACTAATAAAGGTACTGCAGCAAACTATGGTGAAAAAATTGTGCAATATGCTAAATCTTAGCATACATTTGTATACTTGCAGCCAGAATACTTCAGTATACGTCAAGTGATTAGTTAACTTTAAAACATGCTATTTTTGAGCAACTCATTAGTGCTTTTTGTTGTCCAGAGATTCTCCATTTAGACTAAGGCCCAAATTTTGAGTCCAAATTGATAAAAGAACAGTGCAGTGCCAGTCCTACAGCAACACTATCTAGTAATGCGGCTGCCATCCTGATTTCAATCACTCACCTTAAGACACCTGTTGACATGTTAACTGGAGCAGAGGGCTCAGAAGCCACTATTACAACTAAGTTAGTAGGGTAGCATCATAGGCAGCTAGACTATACTTAATGACTGCAGCCGAGACAAACAAAAAAATCTATTACAGGACAGCCTAGGTGTCCCACTGTTCCCAGGAGAACGTGTGCTGGTAGTACACCAGGACACCACACCAGGAGACAGGTAAAGGGAAAATGAAGTGACAGATGGGAAAGCCAGCCCCATGTGGTGGTAGTCTGGCCGTACCCAGACCACCCAGTGCACAAGATTAGACCTGAAGGCAAAGATGGCCCAGAACATGTTCTCCATTACAACAGCTTATGCCCTTTCCGCCCAAGCTTAGCCACAGGACCAGCTGAGACCATTGAACTTGTTAAGTCTCACAACTGACAAATCCAAATTAAGCCACTCGTACTCATTTACACCCTTGTTTAACTTAAGTTCAAATTTTAAGTCTCAAGTCAAAAGCTGTGATCTGAATAATTAAAAACTACAACACTTACTTGGTCTAATTTAGTGTATTCAACCACTAATAATTAATTGTCATTGTACTCATTTCTCTACCTTTAGGTTGAGTCTTGGGTCCTCGATCAGCGCTCTCAGATCAGTGATTTGTGGAATCCGGACTGTCTTAATGGCTGCATGGCGCTTTGCTCTACAGACATCGGCAGCTAGTGACACATTGAGTGGCCCACACTTCCTCACACATTCCCCCTCATCAGCCAGCACCAGGCTCTGCTCCTTTGGGTCAAGGGAAGCCTCACACACAGGGGGGGAGCACAGAGACCGGCCTACAGACAGGATACGTACAAAATAAGAAATGGTGACAGAACCAATGCATTACAAAAACAGCTGTATGCTACAAAGAAGTGGATAGAGTGCTGACACGTCTCTTACTAGCTCCTCGTCTGAACAGCTTATCAGTGGAGTGCTTAGCAGGACGGGGTTGTATGTAACTTTCCAGGCTGTTAAGGTGACAGTGGTACAGTGACCTCAACAGGTCTTTGGCAGCTCCCAGCATCGCCCTCCTTTCAGTCAGGTTTCGACTCTGCGTCAGCCGAGGAAGCAGTGCCAACTGGACATGGTACAAAGGTTCAAACAGGTAGAAGACCTGTGGTATAAAATAATATCAGACAATATATAACCATCACAGTGTACTTCCACTCACAAAACTCATAAAACAGAATTTTCACAGGGAAATCAATAAACTGTAGCACTTTTTAAAGAATACATCCATCATAGTTAGGTGGCTGTTACCACATGTTGTTTATCAAGGTCAGAGACTGTGGTTTTAAAAGCCACTGAGCAGATTACCCAAACAGGCAGTGTGTATATATGCTGGGAATGCTCCAACCCAGGAGGCTGCTGAAATACTGACAATATATTCTGCAGCGCAGACTCTGCAGATCATTAAAGTCTCTCTGTGTGTCCTGTATTGAGCCTGGATACAGAGGTTTAAGATTCTGTATTACTCCGTTGTTGTTTTTTTCAGTTATAGTAGAACAAAATACTCAAGTAAGCCCAAAATGGCAAATGGTTTAGAGGTCGATAAGGAACTCAACATCTGACTTAATATGTTCGTACATTATCAGTTTGTGGCTTTGCTGGACCCACATTATAACATTATTTGTGTAGTGCTGCATTTTTTAAAGACAATGGATGCAAAGCAAATGCAAAATTCTTTTTTTCTTGGATTCTGTGTAAAGTTTTACACTAAGAACCCATCATATGATTTTCTGTCATTTACAATAACTTGTTTTCATCACTTTGAAAATGAATTCAATGTCACAGATAAAAAACACTGACTGAGCCACATAAAAGTTACTACATTTTATCTATTAAAACGCTCTATTCCACCTTGCAGCTATACATTTTTAAAATTATGTTGCTGTTGTCTGTTTTACAAATTTGCTGATAAATCAAAAATATCAAATAAAAAAATATTTAGTATTATGAAATTGTTATATTTTTACATTAAAGGCTGCCAGTTGAAATATCGTTTTGTAATTGTGTATGGGAGATTGTCTGGAATCTGGTAATATCAGACCCATGATGATCTATGATACCATATTACTTAGAAACAAAAATATCAGAAGTACATTTCAGAAGAAGGGATGCGAATTTGGCTGCTAAGTGCATCCACAGGGTCTAGGGGTTAATATAGTCTGGCACATGTGCCAGTGCATTGTAAGGCAAGACAGTATGCTTTTGACGCCATTCTGATCCACAATCCTCTATGCAGTAACAGGTGATAGCTCATTCTGCACTGCAGATAAACAAACGAGGAAGGCCCAATATTATGACCAGGTCGTATGTCCCAGTTGTATTCATACTACATGCAACAGTATGTACTTCTTGAGGGTGGCTATAGTAACTGGTACTATATAGCCCCTTTTTAACTTAGCTAGATGTGTTTGACCCTAATTAGAGCTACCCTGTAAGGTGACTGTCTGCCATCATGAGCAGCTAAGGGTTTAGTGTCTTGCCCAGGAGCCAAGGATCAAACCACCAACCTTGGAATTAGTGGACAACCTGCTCTACCACCTGAATTGAAATTACCCCTATGTGACAGATTGGTTTGTAAATTTGTAGTGTGGTTGAGGTGTAGGGTCCTCATTAGGGTCGCGGGGGGGCTGGAGCCTATCCCAACTGACTTAGGGCGAAGGCAGAGGACACCCAGGACAGGTCGCCAGTCCATCGCAGGGCCACACTTAGAGACAGACAACCAAGCACACTCACATTCACACCTAAAGACAATTTAGAATCACCAATTAACCTCAACATGTTTTTGGACTTTGGGAGGAAGCCGGAGAACCCGGAGAGAACATGAGAGAACATGCAAACTCCACGCAGAAAGATCCCAGGTGTCCTCACCGGGACACGAACTGGCGACATTCTAGCTGCGAGGCAACGGTGCTAACCACTGAGCTACCTTGCAGCCCTGAGGTGTCAACATGAACATTTTAATCTGTTTGGGTTTTGAAACTTATTATAATAGGGATGTTGGGTTCCATGCAAACATATGTACTGATTTAAGGTATATTAACCACATTTAGTGAACATATTCAGAGTCTAGCTTAAAGCTTTGCTGCTTGGTCTTGGAAATTGATGCTTCTCTTTTTTCTTTTTGCAACACATCTTGGTAAGAATGTAAAGAAACTTTGCTTCTCGGCAACAAACACAGAGTGGCAAAGTACACAACTCTTCTAGTTAAAAAAAAAAACAACACTTAACTATGAAGCTTTAAAACATTTTTTTCAAAAGCTACCAAAATTAATTCAGTGTTTTTACATTCTTGAGGTTATATTGACCATTTTATTTCTGATTCTATCTTTAAATTTGAGGTTTTGGTGAATATATAAACCTCACTGACTTTGGTGTATTAATAATTTAGCCAATAAAAATCTCAGAATAAAATGAAATATATCAAGACAGTAGTTTGGTTTGCCAACATAAAGACTCTTAATACCTTCTGAAATGTTGCTTTAATGCTAAACTCCTCAGTAACAGAAGACAGCGTGGTCAGAGTCGGCCTTTTCCAAATTACAAAAAGCATTGACAGAAGTCTTTTTTCAATTGCATGGCTGTATTTTTGGATTGCTGACGATGGTTCTGAATGAAAGGTGATATGCATCCATATAGCATTCTAACCTCTGGGTGCTGGTTGAACAGCTGACCCACAAATGAGGATCCGCTCCGTGTGGTGGCCAGAATGAGGATGTGGGTTCTGTTTTTGGCATCGAAAGTGTGGAGAGGGAAGGAGGAGGAGGTGTGGGAGAAAATGTCATCACAGCCGTAGCCCTCAAGGGTCTCCGAGGTCACTTGTGCCAGGTCTTTGGGGCTGCAGTTGACAGCGTGGCCTGTGGGCGCCAAGCCCACCAAGCACAGCAGGCCTAAGCGGCTGGTGGAGAAGGTGCGGATGGCCGTGTACTGGATGGCTATGGAGGCTACTGCTAGCAGGACCATGAACTTCCAGGAACACTGCATGATGGTTGGACGGACGCATCAGGATGCCAGATCACAGTCTACCAAACATGGGGGAGAAGACAAACACAGAAGGAGGACAGAAGATCTTCAGATTGGTGCATTTGCTTCCTTGACTGTTTTGGTTAACTCTTGGCACTTTTTGTGTTAACAGTGTATTCATAGTCATCAGCTCATGCATGGCTACTTCCTGTTCATTACCATTTGCTTAAAAGAAAAAAAAAAAAGACCAAATATTTAGGGAAATTAAATATCTTAGGTTGTTTGTAGTCTGTATCTCAGGTGAGTCCATTCGCTGGGTTACAATGTGATTCGAGGTAAAGACATTTTTGGACACTAAATCAGCATTTTTGCATCAAAAAGTGCTTCATTGTTTCATTGTGCTCATTTCTGAGTGTTCTAATAATATTTGAATTAATTAAGATTTATTCAGTTATTGCCTAATATGTAAGACACACTGTGTATTTCTCGTTATAACGTTGAGCCGCAACTACCGTGTTCCACACATACCAGAGAGCCATCAGTGTTTGTGTTGTGTATGTTACGCAGTAATTCTTAGTCTTTCTATCTTGATCTAGAACAAGCAGTGACTACAGCGCAGTGCCGGAGAGGAGGAGAGGAGCCGGGGCACGACGACACAGACACCGCCGCTCTGCATCATCCGCCGCGGCAGCATCGACACTCCGCCGCCGCTCCCTCCGCAGCCAGAGGCCCGCTGCTGCTGCTGCGCGCTGCAGCCCCGCACACCGGAGCCCGCCGCTCCCCGGAGCCCCGACGGCGCAGTCCCTTACCTCTGAGCAGCGGGGGGCGGATGGATGTGGCTCCGACCGGCGTCCGTCTGCGGTGGGCGGCGGGCGGTGGGGGACATGGCGCTGCGGCCGGCAGACAATTCAAATCCGAAAACGACCCAAATAAACGGTTCGGTTGTCGGCGGTCACATCCACATCAACAGGCTGCAGCTGGGAGCGGGACCGAC